TATATATATCGCATACTTATGCATTATGTTGAGGCCCAATATGATTTGGTTATATATGAAACTCGAAGTATGTAAGTGTGTCTGAGGTGTATTCAGCCTATTTCGTTTAAGGTAAGGAAGGACTGGTAGTAGAATTTTTCCACAATGATATGAATAGAGTTGACGCTTCCATTGAATTTCTTAGAGCCTTGCTCTCCCAAAAGTTGTTCTCATCCAGGCACCAGTGGACTGTAGTTTCGATCTCGCATATGCCTTATCAACATCCACAGCGGGAGTCGAACCGCGATAGTACAGAATCTGAGCTTGGCACGTCAACCACTCGACCACATTGCCACGAGTCCATTGAGTCACAGGGAAGGTGTGAATTCCAAGGAAGACCATATCTGTTTCCCATATCACATTCTTTCGTGGGATTTTCGATGAAGCAAACGTATACTTGCTATAACAATCGGCTGCATTAGGAGGTTGCCATGGGAACAGCGCCAGCAAGAATGTTCCACAGTGACCAAGCCGAATCCGACGTCGTCTTTTCATGTTATCGCTCCTTGACACTTTCACTCAAGATGAAATTTATCAGGACACTTATGTGTTTAGGGATTCCTCAAGCCCAACTCTTCTTCGCAAAAATGTAGATACGAAGGACAAAATGTTGTAGCATCTAGTTTGTCCGCAGTCTCTTTTCGATGCATAAAAGTGGGTGGCCTAGTTGGACGCACCTTGCCCGAAGTCGTCTACTCTTGTAGTTATGACAATCCTCACTGTTGGTCCATGGAAATGATACATTCCCACACGTTTGACAGAATCATAGTCTGCATTGTCAGCCGACATGTAAAAGAGAATGTTTCACTGACAACTTGTCTCTTTTAAAGTTGAGAATGGCAAGACTCACTGACTATGCTGACTATGCTTCTAGCGAAACATGTGGGAATGTATCATGTCGACGGGCCGATACTGGGAGTTATCAGAACTTTAGGAATAGAGAAGTTCGGACGAGGTTCGTCCAACTGGGCCGCCTTGACAACACGACCAAATTGCGAAAATGAGGTCAGACCACTTCTCTTCGCATTGTCAACAATATGTCTGTTTCAAGAGAACACCTCACCCGGTAACTTGGGACAGAGGACTCGAGACTTCCGCTTCGCTTTTCCCTTGCCTCCAGACGCCCTGAGTGTGTCGTCCTCCAGCTCTGCTTCGGTACTGCTGCCCACCGGATCGGGACTGCTCCCGAATCCCGAGGTCGTGTTGGTCGCTGACGAACGGTCTCTGGCGGCGGCCGATGCCGCTGCTGCCGCTGCCGCCGACTTGGACGTCTTTCGACGCACTCCCAACACGAAACGACCCTTCGCCGCGCCTCCGGCCGGCCCCAGTTTGCCGGTGCCGGATTGCACTTGCTTCTGCGTCTGCGCCTCCTGTTGCTGTTCGTGTTGTTGGTGTGGTTGTGTTTGCTGCTTTTTTTGTTGCTGTTGTTGCTTCCGCAGCTGCCGCTCCTCCAGCTCCGGCACCGACTGTCCCTCGAGCCTCTGCTCGGGGTCGTAGCCGACCGGGAACGAAGCCGTCTCGACCCCGGCCTCGGTGCTGACATGTGCTCCGGCCGCTCCGGGCCGCCAGAGAAATCGTTTGTGCCAGGACTCCACTGGCTGGTTTACCGACGTCTCTCTCGGCATCGACGGAAGAGAATCGGCTCGACGAGACCGAAAGTCGACCGGCCTCAATTCGGCCATGCGGACGGCAGCCTGACAGTAGGGACAGGTACAATTGCCATGTGGTCGGGTGTCGATCTGTGTCATCAAGTCCTGTACCATGCAGACGCGAGAGTGTGACCGCGATCGTCTGTCCGCGAGATGTGTCCGTCGCTCAGCGTCCACCTTTCCGCAAGTCTCAAACGTGGTATCCGAGACCTCGCCCCCTTTGCGCCTCCTCCTTTCTTCCTCCTCCTCCTCCTCCTCCTCCTC